TAGCTGAACAAAGTGTGAACTGTGTGTGTTTGCTGTAGCTCAGAAACGCCTGAATTACATGAATACCAGTGCAACAAAGCACGGGACGTAAGTGAATTGCAGTGAGATGTGTGAGAGCTTCAGAGCACACACACATTTAAAGCAGTCCTTTAGCCACTGTGAGGTGAGTTTGCTGCTTCCCACCCCCCGCACACCTACAGCAGTGTGGGTAATGCTGCTGACAGGAGCTCTGCAGAGCAGGGAACAAAAGCAAAGGTGCTTTGACTTCATTATACCCCCAAATAAACATCCAGCTGGTGGCTTGTATGGAATTCTAAGGGGAAAGCACAGCCCCACGCTGGTTTGGAGCTCAGCAGAGCAGAATTACCCCCTGGTGTGAACCAGAGACCTTTGAGCATTGAGCGGAACTGTCAGTGCTGTGTGTATGTCTCTGCTCCCAGGCTGCACAGGCAGAGGAGCAGCTCCGCCAGCACGCCCAGATGGAGGAGAGGCGAGTGGCTGACCTGGAAGGCCAAGTCTCTGAGGTGTCGGAACTCCTTGGCACCTATGAGAAAGCCAAGCAGAAGGACCAGGTGATCATCCAGAATCTGAAGGACCGCATTGTACAGCTGGACCTGGAGAACAAAACCCTCGCCACCGCGGCCTCCAGCCGAGCCCCTGGGGATGCTCACGTGGAAGAAGCCGACCTGGATGTTAATGTTCTGAAGGATAAAATGGAAAAGCTGAAAAAGCTCTTGCAGGCAGCAGCTAAGAAGAGTGAAACCCCTCTGGACATCGAGAAGCTGTGTGAGCTGGAGCTGCCAAAGGGCACTGAGGCTGGGGATGGAGAGAAGGCCACTGCTGTATACTACCAGCAGGAGCTGAAGCAGCTCAAGGAAGAGTTTGAGAGGTACAAGATGAGGGCACAAGTGGTTCTCAAGAACAAGTCAACCAAAGACATCAGCTTGTCTAAAGACCTGGAGGAAGCTCAGGAGCAGCTGGCTGACCTGAAAGAGAAATACGTTGTGCTTCAGCTGGCCTCTGATGAAATGGAGAAGCGGCACCAGCAGGACATGGAAGCCAAGAAGCAAGAGTTGTTCCAGCTGCAGCAGATCCATAGGCAGGAGTTAGAGAGGTGCCAGCTGGACTACAGGGAACGGGCACTGAAGCTGGAGGAGGAGATGCACAAACAGCGGGACCGAGCCCTGGCAGTGCTGGCAGAAAAGGACCAGGAGCTGGAGCAGCTGAGAGCTGTCACACTGCCTTATGGGCTTCAAGGGTCCAAAAACTACCTTGTGTCAGATGGTGCTTGCAATGACTCCCCAGGTAAGGATTCCTCAGAGATTCTCCCCCAGGCTCTTCACCTCTCCACCACCAGCGAGCCCACCTTCATCTTGTACGCGGAGCAGCTGGCTCGCAAAGAAGTGGACATTGTTGCGCTGAGGAAGCAGAAGCACACGTTGGAAATGCAAGTTCACCATCTCCAGAAGAGGATCTTGGTTGAGGAGGAGAAGCACCGGGAAGAGGTGTCTGCACTTCAACGTGAGATCGAGAAGAACCTCAGGGATAAGAGCAGAGAAGGAGCCAACCTGGAGTACCTCAAGAACATTGTGTACCGGTTCCTGACGCTGCCGGACGCCCTGGGGCGGCACCAGACTCTCACAGCCATCCTCACCATCCTGCATTTCAGCCCAGAGGAAAAACAGACCATCACAAAGCAGTCAGCTTCCAGCAGCTGGTGGCTGGCTGGCAAGAGATGAGGCTGCAGCGTTTGTTCCAGACTGCTTTTGCACAGGGACATGTTCGTGATGGTTAACTGAGACCACTTCACTTGGGGTGTAACCTCCTGCCCACCACGCAGTGGAGCAAGGAGCTCTCAGCAAAGAACTGCGCTTCAGCCAGTGCTCGTAGCACTGGTTTCTAGTTGAGTCATGGGATCACAGCGCTCTCTGGTGTGAGGATTTGCTCTCAGTTGGGACTTGATGAAATAATAAATAAAATCGAAGTTACTGATGCTTTTTTAACCACAACCTAAAAAGAATCACCCTGCGGGCGGAGGGTGAGGAGCTCCATTAGAGCTTCAGCACCAGACAGGCTTGTGACTCAAAGGATATAAGGGAGGGGGAAGCACTTAGTGCTAAAATAACATAAGACAAAGGGCTGGAAGCCCACAAGAAGATGAGTCTTGATGCCAGCATCATCCAAATGCAGAAACTTGAGCAGTTTCTCATAAGGTTTTATTTTTAACCTAGAGCCAGATTTATACCAGTGAATCTGTAGCAGCTCTTCATAGCACTGGAGACCATTTCTGGGTTCTTTGCAGTCATCAGTGCACTCAGGAAAGAGAAAATACCTGAAATATGTAAGTTTGAACCTCTGTAACTGCAGTGGTGCAAGTGCTGATTTCCCCACTAGTGTCCAACCAGAAGGCGCTCTGTAGCAGTTACTGCAGAGCAGGTATCTGAACCTTCTGGCCTGGTTCCTGGTGGGACCCAGGGGGTTACAGGAGGCAGAGGAAAGGCTGAACTAAACCCACTGAGCACTCAGTGGTCATTTCCTGAGTATCTGGGAGTTTCAGTGGAGTTCTGATGCTTTGCGGTGTTGGTTTTAGAAGCAAGGCATTGCTCCTGCTGGGATAGAAGCAGCGAGGGGCAGAAGATAACAGTGCCCTGTGTGCCCTGAGCTTGCAGTAGACCCCATGAGGAGGAAGGTCTGCCCTGTTGCTGTGTGGACCTTGAAGTTCTTGCCTCACTTCCTTGCAAACGGGTGAATGTGGCAGGAAGGAAGCAGAAGCCTCTGGAAACACCTCTGGCTTTTGTATTCCTGTGTTTTGGAGCTGAATGTTAACAGACTGTGTGAGAGGGTTGGGGGAGCTGCAGCGTGCAACTGTGAGCGTGCTGGGGGCTGGAGGGACAGGCTGGATCCCTGGGGTCTCCGCAGGTGCTGGGGCCACTAGAGGGGACCCACCAGTTGCCCAGACCCTGGGAACAAGGGGCCCTGCGTTGCGTCATCCCTCAGCACTGCCAGGACTTGCTCCCCTGGAATGGGAGCTGACTCTGAGACATGACACACCAGGACAGGTCCATGTGTCCGGAGGACAGCACTGGAGCTCAGGTGGGCTCTGCAGGTGGGAGAGGTTCTGTGCAGGCAGCAGGGCAGGTTTCTCTGAGCACAGTGGTTGTGCTGCAGTGAGCTGCTCTGAGGTGTGGGGCTGGGTGCCAGCGCTTTGTGCATGAGGGTAAGCAAGGTCAGGAGCAGCAGAACCAGCCCAGCAGCTGTTGCGTGTCCGGTGCTGCCTGTTGGCACGAAGCTATCCACGATGGGCAGAAGCATCTCAGCCGGGCCAGAAGAGCTGTGCTGGCTGCACTGCCTGGAGCAGTGCCCATCGGGAAGTGTTTGTGCTGGGATTTAAATGGTCTCTTCATCCTAGGGAGGATATTTTGCTTCCCGAGATGTTGGGTGCTGGCCTGGAAAGCACCTGTTCCAGCTGTGCTTCCAGACCTTTCCCATTTGTGTAGGCAAAACCTTGCTGGAGTTGTGTTCCCATGCACCTGCTTTGGTTTATGATTAAAGGTTGGCTCTTAAAGCACAATTCCCAGGCCCAGAGGACTGGGAATGCCTTTGGGAACCAGCACTGAGTCTTGTGTTAACAATCCCCAGGCCTCTCCGGAGTCCTGGAACTGAGTTGACAACCAGAGTGGTTTATCAGCTCCTGGTGCTGCCTGGGAGGCTGGAGCTGCTGAGCAGAATGAGTCCTCTCCCCCCTCAGTGCTGTTCCAGCAGTTGTTGTTCTGTCTGGTCCCTGGAGCCTGCTGCACTGGAGCAGGTTGCTCCAAGCCCCTGTGTCCAACCTGGCCTTGAACACTGCCAGGGATGGGGCAGCCACAGCTTCTCTGGGCACCCTGTGCCAGCGCCTCAGCACCCTCACAGGGAAGAGCTTCTGCCTGAGAGCTCATCTCAGTCTCCCCTCTGGCAGGTTAAAGCCATTCCCCTTGTCCTGTCCCTACAGGCCCTTGTCCATAGCCCCTCTCCAGGTTTCCTGTAGCCCCTTTAGACAGGAGCTGCTTTAAGGTCTCCTTGGAGCACAGCATAGGGGAGAATCTCCTCCCTGAGCTGCTGCTCACAGTCTGGGGGTGCAGCCCAGCACACACTGTCTGCTGACCTTCCCTCTCCCTCCGAAAGGGTTTGATGAGCTGTTTGTGCAAGTTTGGGCCTCCTGCTGCGAGCAGCCAGTGGGGCCATGTTGGGGCTGCACCCTGCAGAACCCTCCCGTCACCCCATCCCTTCTGCCCACCCTGGTGCTGCAGAGCATCCCTCGCACAGCACCCTGGCATCGTGGCACTGGCATGGCCTGTGGTCCCAGCACTGCCTGGGGCTCACCTTGCCCAGCTTTCTGTGTGCCGCGGGGACTTTCACCGTGCCTCAGTTTCCCCTGCGGCGGCAACAGCAGTAGCAGCACCAGCAGCACCAGCACCAGCAGCACCAGCAGCAGCAGCAGCACCAGCACCACCAGCACCACCAGCAGCAGCACCACCAGCAGCACCACCAGCAGCAGCAGCAGCAGCACCACCAGCAGCACCACCAGCACCACCAGCAGCAGCACCACCAGCAGCACCACCAGCACCAGCAGCAGCACCAGCACCAGCAGCAGCACCACCAGCACCACCAGCAGCAGCACCACCAGCAGCACCACCAGCAGCAGCAGCACCAGCACCAGCAGCACCAGCAGCACCAGCACCACCAGCAGCACCAGCAGCAGCAGCAGCAGCACCAGCAGCGGGGGTGCCGGTCCGTGCTCACGCTGTCTCGCAGCAGGAGGCGCAGGGGGTGCACAAGAGCCACGCTCGGTGCCGGCCCCCTGAGCCCGCCCTGCGCTCGGGGCTTCCCGCGGCAGCTCCGGCTGGGCAGGTTCCTACGGCGGAGCTGGAGCCCTGCGGGCGGGGAGCGGCGGCGGAGCTGAGCTGGGGGCACCGGGGCTGCGCTGGCGGCACTGCCGCCTCTGCCCGCGCTGCGTCCCGTGGCACAGAGGGCTCTTGGTGCCCAGCTGCAGCCCATGGCCAAGGAGGAGGAGCAGCCGTCGGCCCTCTCGGATACCCAGGTAGATCCTGCGGGGAGCCCTGTGCAGGAAGCGGGGAAAGCCGCTGCCCGCTGCTGCGGCCACCATTCCCGGCCAAAGGGGATTTGCTGTCACCGGGGATGGGGGTCGGCACCGTGGGGTGCTGCGGAAAGTGCCCGTGGCTGCAGGCAAAGGGATCCGAGTCTCTTGGGCAGGGCTTTGCAGGTTTGTGCTCGCTGAGGCTTCAGCACTGCCCCTGGGTGGGAGCAATTGCAGGTACAGACACAGGCTGGGGGAGACTGGATAGAGCCTGAGGAGAAGGACTGGGGGTGTTGGGTGAGGAGAAGCTCCCCATGACCCAGATTCAGTGTATGTTTGATCCCCCCAGAGTGTAGGGTCAGGGAGGGGATTCTGCCCCTCTGCTACACTCTGGGGAGACCCAACTTGAAGTATTGTGTGCAGTTCTGGTGTGCTCAACATAAAAAGGACATGGATCTGTTGGAACAAGTGCAGAGGGGGCCACGAGGATGATCAGGGGACTGGAGCACCTCCCATATGAAGATAGGCTGAGAAAGTTGGGGCTGTTCAGCCTGGAGAAGAGAAGGCTGCGTGGAGACCTCATAGCAGCCTTCCAGTATCTGAAGGGGGCCTATAGGGATGCTGGGGAGGGACTCTTCATTAGGGACTGTGGTGATAGGACAAGGGGTAATGGGTTCAAACTGAAACAGGGGAAGTTCAGTTTGGATCTTAGGCAGAAGCTCTTCCCTATGGGGATGCTGAGGCACTGGCACAGGGTTCCCAGAGAAGCTGTGGCTGCCCCATCCCTGGCAGTGTTCAAGGCCAGGTTGGACACAGGGGCTTGGAGCAACCTGCTCCAGTGGAAGGTGTCCCTGCCCATGGCAGGGGTTGGAACTGGATGAGCTTTACGGTCCCTTCCAACCCAAACCCTTCCATGTATCCATCCTGGGTGCTGCTCCGCTGTTTGTGCCTGACTCACAGGCTCTGGGAGCTCCAGCTCTTCCAGTCCCACCGGTTCCTCCCTGGCAGCCCCACGCTGTCGCCAGTGCAGCCCAGAGCAGGATGTGGTTTCCAGTCTCTCCCAAGCCCCAGGTGATGGAAACCCGGGTGCTGCAGTGGGGGCAGCTCCGAAGGAAGCAGCAGGAAATGCCCCACGCAGCCATCACCGAGGGGCCTGTCCCTGCAGCAGCAGCATGCAGCAGGCAAGGAACCAGCTGATGGACCCTCCACTCACCACCAGCAAAGGGCTCCAGCCCCGGGGGAAGTCACCTCTGCCTCGGCTCTGCCCTCTCTATGGTGAAGCGGAGGCACCAGCTTCTTGATGCTGCTTCACCCAGGGATGCTCAAGGGTGCTGGGGCTCCGTGTCCTGTGCCTGGTGCTCCCGCTGTGACCCTGCCACAGGACACTGGGGCTGGAGCTCATCTCAATCTCTCCTTCAGGTCTTTCTGCTGACATGCATCTACCTGCCAGCCTCGCTGCTGAGGTGGGTGCTGCTGCCTCCCGCTCTTCCCTTTCCCCTCTTCCTTCTACCTCTTTCCTCCTCCCTTTCCCTTTTCCCTTTCCCTCTCTTTCTTTATCCTGCCCCTTTCCCACTGGGAGGCCACCACACCGGGCACCATCATCTCTGCCCTGATGTGACACTCACTACCAGCCCTATCTCTTCCAGCCTCCTGGGCAGTGGATCCGTTCTCGCTGTCACTTCCTGGCGGAGGTGATGCTGCCACATCCAGGCGAGTCCCACTGCTCCCAGGGATGGGGTTTGGCCTCAGCTGAACCCCAGGGACATACACTGCTGCTGGGTTAATGCCTGGTGGGACAGGGGGGGGAGCAGGGGGTGCAGGATGATGCCCAGCACCCAGCTCCCCACATACAGCCAGTGCCAGCCTGGGGAGAGACATGGCCATGGCCATGGCCGCTCTTCAGAGCTGGGGTGATGCCTCCAGCCAGGACTAACGCTGTCTGTTGTCCCCTGTCCCCAGCTTCGTCCCCTTTGCCTCCTCGCCCTGGCAGATCTCCTGGCAGCCGCCTCAGTGCTGGGCACAGCCACCATCCAGGTGCTCCCAGCACCTCTCTTCATCCCAGCCTATGCTGCCTGCCCCTATGGATGGATGCTGGCCACGGTAAGGAGTGAGCTCATAGCGGAGGATGGAAACCCCCACTTACACGACCCGTCTGCAGGCTGGACTGTCCCCAGGGAAGTCCAAGGCTGGGGATTTCTGCTAATGAGCAATAGCCCTTGTTCCCTCTGTCACTTCCAAGTGGAGATGTGTCTATGCCCAGCCCAAGTGAGGGGAGTGCTGCATCCCTCTTGTCCCCTCCCCAGCTGCTTAGTGCACAGGGTGACCATCACAGTGGTTTCAGGCCTGCAGATGGGGGCAGAGCCCGGTTTATGCCACTGGAGCCCGGCACAGGCATGGACCCGGGTGGTCAATGCTCCACCTCGTGATAAAGCCACCAGCCAGAGAGGCCACCGGTCCCCATCCCCAGGGTGGGCACAAGGACAGCACGAGCCCATTTGCTCTTGGGGCTGCAGGTACTGGGGAGCTGCTCCTGTGCTGCTGCTCCTGGCACAAAGGCAGCAGGATGCCAGAGTGCAGAGCATGGGGAGGGAAGGGGAAGGTGCCTTTGGGGTGCTGGGCAATGCAGGGGCCAATTCTCCTCTTCCTCTTTCCTCTCCTCATCTTCTCCCCCTCCCTCTCCTGTCCCAGATGTTCTATGCGATCTCATTCCTGATGGTGGTTGTCTACGCATTTGAGTCCTACCGCATGGTGCATGGCTGGAGAGCCCGGCACGGTGCAGCCCTGCAGGTCAGTGTCCCCTTCCCTTCCCAAGCACAGCCACTGCGGCCCTGTTTGAACCCGGGGAGCCGAGGGGGGTCCAGGACAGCCCCTTTCCCTGCGGAATGTGGAAGGGAAGCGGGTTCCCAGCACCCCACATCCTGGAGCTGGAGCTGCTGCAGGACCCACAGCCCCCGGTGGTCTCCTCCCCGCAGGAGGGAAGCGGGTGCCTGGAGCGCGTGTTGCAGGAGCTGCCCTACATCCTGGCCTGGTACGTGCCCTGGGGCCCTCTGCACCCCCAGCAGGGCTGTGGCACAGCACCAGCCCTCCAGCCTCGGGATGGGGTGGCACAGGACGGGATGGGACGGTACGGATGTGCTCACCTCCCCTCGGCTTCTCCTGCAAGGCTGGTGCCGGCGCTGACGCTCCTGGGGCAGCTCATTGCCCGCGGTACGTCAGTCACTGACATCGCACCGAGACACCTCGAGCCCATCGTGCCGTGGAGGGGCAACGGCTCCCACGAGACCTACAGCCTCTACTGCTCCAGGTGTGCTGCTGGGTGACCCCCGTGGGCGTGGGTGTGCTGCAGCCCCTGCAAGGCACACAAGGGACAGCTCTGCATAGTGAAGGCTTTGGGATGGGGATTAGGGGACCACCACCAGCATCCTCTGTCCTTTCAGCTGCCTGCTCCTCATCCACCGTGCCCAGGATATCTGCTATGAGGTGAGCACTACTGCATGCCCATTACTCCCACCATTCCCATTCCCCATCCGGCTGCCCAGCACTGCCAAGGGTGGGTGGGCTCAGAAGAACACCGGGAAGACAGCAGGTCCAATGGGATGCTGCCAGAAGGACATGGAAGGAAAATCCCTGCTCGGGTAGAGGTGCAACTCCCACCTCCAGCAGTGCCCTGGTGCTGATGGCACAGCTCAGCCCTGCTCCTGTGGAAGGAGCTGTCGGGCCCATGGCCCCACTGGTTCCCCATTGCCTCCCAGTATGTCAGCAGGAAGGACGTGGGCCTGGAGGGGAAAATCATCTTCTTCTTGTACCTGCTGCTGGTGCTCAGCTGCTGCACGGTGAGCCGGGCGTGCAGTGGGATGCAGTGGAGTGCATTTGGGTGCACTGAGGTCCTTCCACAGCTTCCAGCACATCCCGACTGACCCTGTTCCCCTCTATCCAGCTCCTGTACCACAGGGTGCAGCGCCGGTGCCGGAGGGACGCCGCGGAGCCGCTGCTGACACTGGAGAGGGACAGCTTTGCGGGCAGGAGCACCCGCAGCATCAGCAGAGTCTCCCACTACTTCCAGCTGGTTTTCCTGCTCTGCTGGGCTCCAGGTGAGTCTGGGTGGAAGTGTGCCACAGCTCCCACTCCAGTGCCTGCATTCCTGCACTGAGACAGCTCCCACGGCCAAGACAAGAGGTTTAGTGCAAGGCCTCCAGGTGTCTGTAGGACCCTCTGGCTGCACAGACAGAGTGAGAGCCCAGCCAACAGTTTCTTTATCCCACCCTGTTGTGACAGTGACAGGTTTTCCAGCGCATTTCCTGAGCTGGAGGGTGGAATCTGATGGACCTGATTTTAGGGGTATCTCATCTCTTTGAGGCCCATTTATGCGTTCAGCCTTACAGAAACCTGTGGCAGTGAGTTCCCCACGTCCCTGGGGAACGTATTGTTAACATCCCATTGTGTGCTTGCCCTGTGTAGAGCCCATAGGAAATGGGCTGTGACAGGGGAAGGGCATTTGCCACTTGGAGAGGGAAACTCCGGGTGAAGCAGACCAAGGAACATCCTTTTGTCTTCCACCGCAGCCTTCCTCCTCACCCTCCTCTCCTTCACCAGCATCAAACCTACCTCCGTCTTTGCCCTCTACATTGCCACAGTAAGTACAACCCATTTCCTGGCCTCCAGAGCTGGGACCTGTGTCCCCATCAGACGTGTGAGTGGCAAGAAGCCACTGCCTGTGTGCCGGTGTCCCCCAGCCTGGGCACTCCCACAGGCTGATCCCATGGGAGCAAAAGCATGGAGGTGATGGGTTTGCAGCACTGGCTCCTCTCTTGCAGGCCCTGAGCACCTCCCTGCAGGGCTTCCTGCACAGCCTGGTCTATGGGTGGCTGAGGCACAACTTCTGGCAGGAGGTGGTGGGCAAGAGCCTCTCGCTGCAGCACCCCCGGGGGCTCAGGGCGTTCTATGATGAGTCCCTGGGGGCTGTTCCCTAAGGCTCCACCTCATCCCGGTGACTTCGCACTGCCTGAAGCCTCGCCAGCACCTCCACATCCCTGCCATGGCTGGGCAGGAAGCCCCTGGCCTTGCCCCTGGTGCTGAGCGAGGAGCAGGAAGGGATATGGGGGTGACAGAGGCTCTGTCCCAGTGGGAATCCCATCTGTATTCCATCACTGCTGGAGGCAGCCCAATGTCCTGTCACCTCCACTGTGCAGACAGCAAAACCACGAGCAGTTGCCACATGGGAGATGGGACAGGAGCTCTTGGGAACAAGGATGCTCCTGTCCTGGACCATGAACAAGATACTCCTATTCCGCACCATGAATGACTTGGCTGTTGGCAGCAGGAGGGCTCTGTGGGCTCAGGAGCATCCTGCTGCTGTGGAAGGAGGCTGGTGGCACACAACTGGTGATCCCTAGACCTTCCATCAGCTGAGCATCCGCTGTGACTGTCCCAGGCAGGGTGGTGGGCCTTTCTGTATCGTGGTGCTTCCTGCCGGGGGGAACCCGAATTCCTCCACAGGGCTTGGGAGGTCGTGCTCACAAATAAAGGTGTTACGGTTGAGGTGCTCCTGGGCTTTGCTGTTGGATAAGGAACAGGTGGCAATCAGGAAGCTCATGCTCCTTACTGCTTTGAGGGAGGTTCTTGGCCAAGGCCATGTCAAAGGGACTCTTCATCAGGGACTGCAGGGATTGGACAAGGGGTGATGGGTTCAAACTGGAACAGAGGAAGTTCAGGTTGGATCTTAGGCAGAAGCTCTTCCCTGTGAGGGTGCTGAGGCGCTGGCACAGGGTGCCCAGAGAAGCTGTGGCTGCCCCATCCCTGGCAGTGTTCAAGGCCAGGTTGGACACAGGGGCTTGGAGCAACCTGCTCTAGTGGAAAGTGTCCCTGCCCGATGAACTTTAAGGTCCTTTCCAACACAGACCATTCCCTGATTCATTCTGTGATTCTATGAAAGAGTTTGACCTCCCTGGGAGGAATGCAAAGCTAAAAACACATCATGAAGAGCAATCACACCTGAAGGAGGATGCTTGGGCTGGGGGGGAATGGCTACGAGGTGGCAGGAAGGTGAGCATTACAAGATGGAAACTACACAGCATTTGCTTTACTGATGCCTTGGCCCTGCCATGAGTCGGGCAGACGGATGGGTGAGGGCTGAGATGCCCTCTGCAGGGTTGGGTGTAGTGAACCCTATGGAGATGTCTGTGAAAGGGACAGGAGCCCCTGTGCTGACCCAGAGCCCCTGACATCATCTAACAGTGACTGAGGAACCACCGAGCCAAGGACGACCGACTCCACAGCCCTCTGCAGAGAATCCCCATTCCCAACCAACCAGATCCACCAAGACTCAAGCCCAGGACACAGCTTGGCTTCATTTGGGGTTTTTTAAACTCATGTTTTCTACTATACATTAGTGCTTTGGTCCACACAGTCACCGCAGAGCTATCACACGGACACACACCAACTCTATATACAGAATATACACTAGGAGTATTGTACAAGTTCCTTACTACAGGGAGGGATGGCTGTGTCTTCTCACGTGGCTGCTTCCAGGCTGGAGATGGTGGGGATCCCAGCAGCTTCCTATGTTCCTTCACTGTCCATGCCTGGCTCTGGAGGGGAAAGTGCAGGAAGGATTCAGCCACCTCTGAGACTCACCAGTATCTCCACAGCCCCAAGGCAGCAACAGGCAGAGGCCAGCAGACAGCATGACTGCCACCTTATGAGCTGACACCTTTGTGCAGGTCCTGGCTGTGATGCTGGGCTCTCCTGCCCCATGCATTCCAGGGCTTTGACAGGAGTGCAGCAGGCTGCCAGACCCAGGGAAACAGGCCCTGGCCAGGCTGGTGGATGGTGAAACGCAGTTATAGGAGAAGCAACCAACCATGGGGTTATGGTAAAACCACTTCAGAGGCAGAGAGATGGCTCTCTCGGGCAGAGGGCATCAGCAGAGCCTCCGGTCTCTTCTACATTCACCCTGAAGCACACACACATCCCTCTGTCTTCCCCAAGAGGTGAATGGGAGCAGAATGACGGAGCTGGAAGCTGGGTTGTGCTGAGGACAAGCTGTGGTGGAGCTGGAGGGCTCACACATGGGCTGCTCCCCAGGTGCCCACGTGCAAGGCTGACACAGGCTGCAGAAATGAGGTTCTCCAACATGTTTTATCAGCAAGGGGGCTGGCTACGTTATCTCCGTGCCCAGCAGAGCTCCAGCTCTCTTGTACATTATGAGTGCACACAAACTTGATTTTCCAGGGTGAATAAATGACATTTGGAGGCCAGCTCCTCTCTGTGGAGCTCTGGGAGCTGCTGCCTTTCACACAGCACCCACTGAGATCCCTGGAGAGCTGAACCTTGCACATGCACCAGCCCCTTCTTCTTCTTCTCTTGTCTCTGCCTTGAAGGAAACACAGTGTTCCACGTCCAGCAATTCATCCTCCCACTCCCATTGCCTCTCAGGCTCATTCCAGCATGAGTCAGGCTGCTGGATGGGTAGGGACAATTCTCTCACATCATTTCTGTGTGGGGAACAGCATCTCTCTCATTATAACCATTCTGTGGTTCTGTGATTACCATCGGGAGCTGTCCTGAAACCAGCTGCCCCCTACAAGGCTGGTCCTGCTCCTCCCAGGCACTGGAGTTTGGAGAGCCCAAGCACCAGATGAAGATGGAGGTGTATACATGGGCAATGCACAGCCTATCACATGCTGCTGGAAGCCTGGCTGTCACTTTCTGACCTGACAACAGCCACACAGGGAGCAGTGTCCCATTTACAGCCCCTAATCCAGCTCTCAGAGCAAGACTAGGCAGAGAACAGTGCACACGGCTCCTAATCCTGCTACTGAGCTGACCCACATCACAATCCTACACGGTTGTGAGTAAGGTCCCGATCAGGGCGTGTGGCCAGAGCAGGGAAGAAGTTTCCTTTCCAAACACAACTGCAGCATCCCACAGCTCGGAGTGGGGTGGGAGGACCCTTCCCTGTCCCCCAGAGTCCCTGCTCCGTGCTCAATGGTGGTGCAGCACAGCCTGGAGGTCCTCGGGCAGGGAGCCGATGATGGTCTCGATGTACACACTGACCCTCTGCAGCGTTTCCTCCTTCACAGGGAGGTGCTGGCACCTGGCTCGGACCTGCGGGGAGACAGGAAGGTTAAAACAGCCTCAGAGCTCCTCCTTCTGCTCTGCCTGTCCTGAGCAAACTCCAGTTTGTCTCTATGACAACAGACCCACTGCCATAGATGGTTATGGAGACCGAAAGCCCAGCAGAGCTCGAGACCCCAGCTGGTTGCACCAGTTTGTATGGAGCAGGATTATAAAGGACCCTCACAGGTTTTACAGCCAGAATGTTTCAGACAGGTCACTCACCCGGGTGACTGGCAGAAGGTGGCAGTGCCTACCCTGCACTTGCACTGCTCTGAACTTCTCCTGTGTCCATTGACAGCAAGAGCAGGTAACTGAGGGTCCTGAGCCAGCCACACCTCAGGGACCAGCAGAATTGGCCAGACTGGGCTACATCGTTTCCTGCTACTATTTATCTCTATGTATGTCACTGACCCAGATGATCACTAACCTCTGGGCACCATCCACATGCTCTAGATCCCAGATGGCTTCCAGAGCAATAGTTTCAGTTGGAAGGGACCTTAAAGCTCATCCAGTTCCAGCCCCCTCCCACCGGCAGGGACACCTTCCACTAGAGCAGGTTGCTCCAAGCCCCTGTGTCCAACCTGGCTTTGAACACTGCCAGGGATGGGGCAGCCACAGCTTCTCTGGGCACCCTGTGCCAGCGCCTCAGCACCCTCACAGGGAAGAGCTTCTGCCTAAGAGCTTATCTCAATCTCCCTTCTGGCAGGTTGAAGCCATTCCCCTTGTCCTGTCCCAGTCCTGACCCTTGTCCAAAGCCCCTCTCCAGGTTTCCTGTAGCCCCTTTAGGCACTGGAGCTGCTCTGAGGTCTCCCCTTCAGGAGCCTTCTCTTCCTCAGGCTGAACCAGCCCAGCTCTCTCAGCCTGGCTCCAGAGCAGAGCTGCTCCAGCCCTCGCAGCATCATTTGTGTGTCCTTTCCTACACAAATATTGAAGTTTCCTGACTGTCCCAATCTCCAAATCAGGGAACAAGAGCAAAGCTTTCTAAGCAACAAACATTATCCATGTCCCTGGTCTCTCCCTGCCGCAGAGATACAGACAGAAAAGAGCCAGGGCAGGAAGAAGGGAGGAAAACTCACCAGCTTCTCACGAAGTTTTAGTACCAGGTCTACAATCTCAACCTCGGACTTGTCCTTCATCCAGGCTACAATGTTCTAAAGAGAGAGAACAGCTTTCTTCAGGGACATTTCTTCTTTACAGAAGCTTTTCCCAAAGAGATACCCCTAAGCAGAGCCTGAAACAAAAGGCAGGAGGAGGATTCTCATCCTCTTTCACAACTCTGCTCGTAGCACTTAAATGAACAAGACTGAACTCTCCCCACTTTCCTAACTGTCATAGCATCAAGTTCTTGCCTGAGGAGAAGAATGAAGATGCAGTCACACACAGTCAGTGCAGGCTCCTGTCCTCCAGGCAGTACCACGAATCTTGTGCTTTGCTCACAACTGAAATTTATTTGCCAGAATCTGGCCTGTTCATAAAAGGAGATAGCTTTGGCATTGCCTACACTGTGCTCAAGGACCTGCACTGTTCAACAGTGGAGCTGAAGATCACAGAATAATAGAATGGTTTGGGTTGGAAGGGACCTTAAAGCTCATCCAGCTCCAACCCCTGCCACAGGCAGGGACACCTTCCACTAGAGCAGGTTGCTCCAAGCCCCTGTGTCCAACCTGGCCTTGAACACTGCCAGGGATGGGGCAGCCACAGCTTCTCTGGGCACCCTGTGCCAGCGCCTCAGCACCCTCACAGGGAAGAACTTCTGCCTTATGTCTAACCTGCACGTCTCCTGTTTCAGTTTTAACCCATCACCCCTTGTCTTATCACTACAGTCCCTAATGAAAAGTCCTTCTCCAGCATCCTTGTAGCCCACTTCAGACACTGGGAGCTGCTATGAGGTCTCCACGCAGCCTTCTCCTCTCCAGGCTGAACAGCCCCAACTTTCTCAGTCTATCTTCATACAGGAGGTGCTCCAGTCCCCTGATCATCCTCGTGGCCTCCTCTGGATTTGCTCCAACAGCTCTGCATCATCCTTATGTTGGGGACACCAGAACTGCACCCAGTGCTGTAGAGGGTCTCACAGAGCAGAGGGGCAGAATTCCTTCCCTCGACCTGCTGCTCACACTGCTTCTGATGCAGCCCCACACATGGGGGGTGTCTAGGCTCAAGATGCTCTTGGGTAAAATGCCAGACTCCAGGGACCTGAGCAGCTGCTCAGTTTAAGAAAGTGGACCATCAGTCACTACTGAAAAACCTATTTTCATTAGGCATTAAGGAAGCCAGCAAGAGATGACACTCCCAGTCTGGCTCTCTGCTGGCTTGGGAAGCGCATAATGGATGAAAAACAGTTGGTAGAAGCAGCCAGAGCATGACCTGCAGTGGCTGACAAAAGCAGGGAGCTGAGCTGCTCATGCTCCTGTCCTCTGCCTGTGCTGTCATCCCTGAGCACTGACAGATGTGAGACAGAACCGTGGCTCCCAAGGGCAGAAGGCACTGTCCCCCTCCAGCAGTGCAGAACTGAGGTGTACCAGTAAGTGTCCAAGGTACCTCAAGTGTCCAAACACCCTCATCTCCCAGGTTTCAGGCCCAAGGAGGTATCATCTGGCACTGGTTTCCGTGCTGCAGCTGAACATACCGCCTCACAGATGGCCTCCAGATGAAGGGCCTCCAGCTTCTGGGTCATTTCCCGGTGCCTCTGACGGTACCAGCCATCAAAGTTGGGAGACTTGAAGAACCTCCTGTGGAAATAGAGGTGACAGGGAGCTGGGGACAGGGATCTCCAGAGGAGCTCATGGCTCCACTGCATGCATTCCCCTTCCTGCTGCAGCAGAGATGTGAGAGGAAAAGAGTCTGCTCCACAGAGGCATTAAGGATGTAAGTGATTATGAGCTAACATGCTCTACTCCTATCTTTTCTACACCAGAGGTTTCTCCCTGCTCAGGCCTGAACATGATCCAGCTGAGCACCTTTAGCAGATTGTCACCAATGAGAGGGGCAACACTGCAGTCTCACACCTTCCTCTGCATCAGCTCATGCCTCAGCCAAGGCAAGACACAGTGCTCTTTGTCCTTCTGCAGCCTTATTTTATCCCACTTTTCCTTTGGAGTTATGATAGCTGTTGGAATTCACATTCCTCTGTAGTGCTACAGAATCCCAGCCTGGTTTGGGTTGGAAGGGACTTTAAAGCTCTTCCAGTTCCAACCTCCTGCCACAGGCAGGGACACCTTCCACTGGAGCAGGTTGCTCTAAGCCCCTGTGTCCAACCTGGCCTTGAACACTGCCAGGGATGGGGCAGCCACAGCTTACAGCCACAAATATTTTGCTTAATTCCTTTCCTGATATTTAAAGCTCGCAACCATTTGCCAGTGTGGACTTAAGTCCTATATAACTGGTGATTTACCTCTCTCCTTCATAAACAAAGTATCAGGCTATGTCAAAGGGGGTGTAACTTGTACCTCTCCTGTGCAGTCCAGTACTAAACTTCTGTTTTTACTTAGCTATGCAGGAAAATGAACAAGGGGGCAGCACCATACCTGCGTTTATCTGTGCCAGCAGGTTTTAGATCAAATCCAACATGGGATTGAAAAGGCATGAACTGAAACACAAGGCTTGTGGCAGCAGAGGGAGAAAAAGATGAGACAGTTTAAGATGCTGTGTGGAGCTGAGTCCCAGCCATCTCAGCACCAGCTGCTCTGGAACCAGCCTGGCTCCAGAGCAGAGCTGCTCCAGCCCTTGCAGTGTCCATGTCCTCCTCTGGCCTCACTCCAGCAGCTCCGTGTCCCTCTTGTGCTGGAACCACATAAATCACAGCATTGATTCTATCCTGCATTTGATCCTCCTGACCATTATTAGTGAGTCAATTCTTCATAGGCCTGAGCTTTTCAGGTGACCTGTCTCTGTCCTGAAACCCCCTTTTTGTTCCTATTCTAATTCAGGATGTGATGTTCATTACAACTTGCACGGGCTGTTAAAGGGATAAGGCAGGGAATTACCAAAGTCTTACCTGTAGAGGCCCAACCAGTCACCCTTAAGCACACAGGTAAGTTGGGGCCCAGCATGCTCAAGGGTCTTCATGAAATCTTCCTGACAGAAAGGACGAATCTGCGGAGGGTTCTGCACAACAGAAGGTCCATATTACACACACCAAAAGAAACTGGGGCAAGATGAGGTCTGTATTTACACTGGAAGAGGCTGCACAAGGCACACTTGGTAACTTAAGAGAACAAAACATGCATGAACATCTTAACCAGCCTTGTAGTAAAATTCAAATTAGGCTCACAATAGCTGAGCTTGCTGCAAAACAGGAAGCATCTGCCCCAGTGTTTGTTTCAGCTTGTATTTGAAGGAGTAATAACCCTCTTCCTTCAATGAGGGAAGTTCACACAGAGTATCAGAGTATGTGATCAGCATATGGCAGAACTATTCCCAATCCCTGCAGGCAAAGTAAAGCAGAAGTGACTGGAAACTGAACATACCTTCCACGGAGTAATGGCCCTCTGCAGAGGCATCAGACTTGCGATGTAATGCTCCTAAGAAGAAATAAACACCCAAACCATTAAATAATAGTTAAAAAACTCAAGCTGCAACCATAAAGAAGCCTATTGCATGCTCATGGAGTTTGATAGTCTTCTCCAATACATCACAGACCCCAACAACAGCCCCATACTCCTGGTTTTTACTTCATGTGACATGAGCCCTAGTGTTCCAGCTCGTTTCCCACCGTGGCTGGGTCAAAAGTCAGTGGGCAGAAGTTGGCAGGAGAGACTAGAATCTGAGGAGATGCTCTGTCCTCCCATGTCCTGCCTCCTAAGATGATGTAGGAAAGGAAATGGAGGAGCCAAAGCTGGCCAAGAGTGAAGGCCTTGAAAGAAAGCATGTACTAAAACCTGCCGTAGGGGAGTGACCACCATGTGGAGCCTCTAAAGGTCCTCAGCCAAGCTTCCTAAGCCAGAAAGGATTGCTTCATGCTGGCAATAGGTTTGATTCCAGCGTTAGAGGAATATTTTGGGCTCCCTTCCCTTCCTTATATACCTGCTTTGACTACCTGCTGAAAAGAGCAGAGAAGATCAAGTACCAGGGAATATCTGTCTATTCCTACACTGCAAATGTTCTGCCTTCACACACAGTCTGATGCATACCCAACATGTAGATTTAATGCTAATTACTGAGATCAAGGAGACATTTCAAGAGGCATTTTGTTCCTTTCCTTGGAGTAAAACATCTCTGGAGTGCCATATCCTGAACCTATTACAGATGCTCAGCTATGGGTGAATAATAGAGAGCAAGGGCAAACTCGTCACTCGCACATCTGCTCACCCCCCTGGGACACGTCTGTGTTCAACTCCTTACCAGGGGAATGATGAAACTCTGGGTGAGCTCCAGGAGGTGACGTCTCAGAAGGGCACTTTGGACTTCGGACGGGCGCTTCCGCTGGATCCCCTGCAAGCACATAGCACAAGGTGCCATCCTCCGGTATGCAGAGAACTGCAGAGCCTGCACACTGCATGTAGAAGCAGCCAGTCCAGAGCAGTCTGGAAAACTTCTGCCCAAAACACACATTCCACCCTCTAGTTAAACCTGTCACTCACATTTCACTGCCTACAATCTGTTTTTCAGACTTTTTGATAGCAATTGTTTACAGAATCAGGGAATGGTTTGGGTTGGAAAGGACATTAAGATCATTCAGTTCCAACTCCTGCCACAGGCAGGGACACCTTCCACTAGAGCAGGTTGCTCCAAGCCCCTGTGTCCAACCTGGCCTTGAACACTGCCAGGGATGGGGCAGCCACAGCTTCTCTGGGCACCCTGTGCCAGCGCCTCAGCACCCTCACAGGGAAGAACTTCTGCCTTATATCCAACCTGAACTTCCCATATTTCAGTTTGAACCCATCACCCCTTGTCCTGTCCCTATAGGCCCTTGTCAAAAGCCCCTCTTTAAGTTTCTTGTAGGTCTCCCTTAATAATTCCAAATGAAAAATGTTAAAACTGGCACAATGAACATGTCCAAGTATACCTGACAAAATTACTGCATGCTCTAAAAAGTCTGTTCCTTTTGGAGAGTTCCGTCTGTTTAAATCAAGCTGTTAGCACAGGTTTCCCATAACATAAGAATGTAGGATAGAGTTGCAAGCCCTTACCTTTAGTAATCTTTTGATCAGGGTTTTGTCTTTGTGCAGGAATGTTTTATAGGAAGTATAGATTCCTAGATTGAAAAAAAACCCAAACCAGGAAAAAAACAGATGTTAGAAACAAATCTTCGCCCACATATCTAGCAGAGGCACTGCTGTATCTGTATCACAGAACCCAAATTCCTAGTACTAACCCTAACCCTGGCTGCTCTGTGTGTGTGTAATTACAGCAATGATTAAAAAGCTATTACAAGGATAGAGGAATTGCTCATGCAGTCAGTACTCACAGCAGGAGTAAAGCACACTGAACTATCTCAAGGGCCTTCTTGTGCTAAGCTGATAGTGAGATAAGTTTACTGGAGTCAGCTTATGGCTGGGCCTGAGAGGAACAGTTAGTTAAGGGACAGCTGTATCTAGGCAACCAAGTTCCTTTGACTTCCATCACATCTAAAAACTGTGTATGATATAGAAAATAAACCCATGAAAATGAGAAGCTCTTCTCCTGAAACTAAAATAACAGAATCCCAGACTGGTCTGGGTTGGAAGGGACCTTAAAGCTCCTCCAGCTCTAACCCCGTGCCACAGACAGGGACACCTTCCACTAGAGCAGGTTGCTCCAAGCCCCTGTGTCCAACCTGGCCTTGAACACTGCCAGGGATGGGGCAGCCACAGCTTCTCTGGGCACCCTGTGCCAGCACCTCAGCACCCTCACAGGGAAGAACTTCTGCCTAAGAGCTCATCTCAGTCTCCCCTCTGTCAGGTTAAAGCCATTCCCCTTGTCCTGTCCCTACAGGCCCTTGTCCAAAGCCCCTCTACAAATGATCATATTGGCTTTTTCAACCTCAAAACAAAGCTGTATAGTTGTCTGTAGTACATGGGGGATGCCACTACTGTGTAGCAGTTCAAATGTGATAAGATGATAATGTGAGAAGATGGTGACACCAAAACACCCATTTGTTGAGAAGCAAAGAATAACGTATGCCATGTTCATGTGCTAAATCCCTCATGCAGAAGGATAAACAAAACTAAATCATGCCTGACAAAAGACTTACCTGGTTTTGTGTCTAGAGTTTTTAGTTTTGCCAGCTTCTTCACCTTCACTTGCTTGGGCAGGTCTCCTGTGGGATGACATCAAATGACCAGTTCAGGCTCTGAATCCACCTCCGCATCCATTGCATGCACCTGAGACACTTTGCACTCAAGAACATCCAGTCCTACACTTGCACTACTTCAATGATACCCTCCCTTCACTCCACTTTCACATGAGCCTTCTCATCTGCTAACCTTCCTGCTCCAGTTTTGGACAAGAGAGGTGTTAAGGAGGCATTGCACAAAACCCAACTCCTCAACCTAGAGGTTTCCTTGGCTACATAGCTAATAATTTGAGCCTGTCTCTCCACCTCCTTCTCCTTCTCTATCCAATTTTCTCTTTCCTGCCTAGGAAGGACTTCTCTTTTTCTTAATGCTTAAAAAAATACAGCAAGTTATCCTCTCAATGATTTGTCTTTGCCATTGTGCTCATCCTGCACATCAACTGAGGCAGAGTCTAGACTTGCCACCTTTGGTTTCTCAGCTCTCACAGGAATGGAGATGTGTCAAACAACAGCTAGCACCACAACTGTGAGCTCAATGCAGCCTCTCACAAGGTCTACCTGCACAACAGGATTGTGGTTCCACCCTTACCTGACATTTTGAGCTCCCCAACCCGCAGAATGTGTGGCCAGTGCTGAAGAGTTTTGATAAAGAAAGGGTTTGTGACTCCCACAACAATGTTTGGCCTGGAAAGAGGGGGAAAAAAGGCAGATCAGTGTTACCCTGGGGGTTTTCTTCCCACAGCAGTGGCAAGGAGGGTAGCAAGGGTCTAGTGGCTACTTACGGAGCTTGTGTCCTGGTGGTGTACTCTTTAAATTCACTGTCGTGGATGGTAAAGTAGGGGCGGTAGTCACAGCAGTACCTCAGAGGAGCCAGGCAGCTGTAAGCAGACATAAACCCTTCACAGAGCAGCAATGTGTGTTTATATCATGTGTATGAACTGGAGCAGTGGTTTTGTCCTGCCAGAGGTAACACTCTGGAGGAGTTCCAGGGTTTGGGGCTCCTTTTTGCTAAAGCAGAGTTCAAAGCTGGGGAGACAAAGTTCCTCAGGCCTATGATCCGTCAGGTCTTCTCACACAGGAGATTCACTTTTACTCCTCTTTACCATTATAGAGTATGAGCAACACTCTCTTGCTATGCTATTTGTTTCCATGCTTTCATGTACAAATTCAGGCTAACAACTGACTTGGCACAAGAATGAATCTGAAAGAGAAGAGCTGCCAGAACCCATTATTCCAGCTCCCTGTATCTCCAAATTTCATGGCATTACCTGGTAAGTGCCAGAACCATTTCTGAAGACACTGTAGGGGATGGTGCCATGACAACAATTGGCTCTCCCAGTAACATCAGCTCCCACAACATCTGGATGTGAATTAACACTGGCTGGAAACATCTGTTAGTGAGCAGAATGACAAGCTGAGCTTAGAGATGCAGTTCAGACACAATCAGACGCAGTCTTTGCATATGCCTCTGCCCAGATGTGCTTCTATCTGGGAATCAGAAACCCAGGACTGAGTTTTAGCATTCCCCAATAATGCCACATGCTGCTTTACACATGCTCCTGCTCAACCATTTCACACATGTTTAAAGGAAATGTAAAGCAATGTAAAACAACCTGCTGATCATGTTGCTCTCTGTGTGTCTTTTCATCTAAGCAAAATAAAATGCATGCGGATTACAGCAGATGTGTCTCTATTGGAATTACACTGATAATGCAGACAAGTGTGGTTCAGGCACTCCATGTCGACATGTCAAAGCTTGAGCTGATCACTAGCCAAGATCAAGAGAAGAAACCTCCTCTAACCAGGACACAAGGGTGTGGTAAGGGCAGCACACACAGGTTTAAACACTGAAGCTCTGCAAGCCCAGTATTCTAAATGATGCTATGCAAAGCAGTAAGTTTTGGTTCTTCATTATCCTTAGGATTTATAGGATGCTCTGAGCAAGGAGAAGGGAGAGCAGAGGAGGGTGTTGCAGGGATGGTGGCTCTCACCTGAAAAGATCCAGTTCATGAATACTGGGGAGAACCAATGGGGCCGGTAACAGATTCTAGGTGAGGGAGAGAAAACACCAAACAAAACCAAAAGTGTTAGTAAATGGAAGCCTCCTGGCTGAAATGCCAACTACACTGACCACATCTATCACACGGTAGCTCCCTGTACAACAAGCACAAAAAGAAGAGAACAAGGTTAACACTTAGAGGAATGGATCTGGACTGAGCATTCAAGGTCCAAATGAATTCCCTTTCCTACAAGACCACCAGGAATCCCTTCTTTCCAAGATGTGAAGGTCTTCCATGTCTGCTCCTTTATATTCTATAGTTTCCTCTAGTGGAAGACACAGCTTAAGATACAGATGGAGACAATAAGGGTTAGCAATATGGGTACCAGAAGTTGTGAAAGAGGATAACATTGTCCAAAGAGAGGAAAAGGGAGAAGATGAAATGAACAAGAATCAAAATGAAAGCTGAATCAAAGCAGTAAAGAGCGGTTTCAAACAGGATTAAGGCTGAAAGAGTTCCAGCTCTTCTCCATCCTCCTTCCTCAACAGTCTAGATTCTCCTTATCACTGGCTTGTGTCACACCATGCCTTATCTCACCTCTTGGTTGAACTGTTTCACTGGGCTTGATCCTGGCTTATCCACCCTTGATGGGATTCTCACCTAGATTACAAATAAGAACAGATTATCCAGGGAGATGGGATCAGCATGCACACACACTGTGCTTTCTTCTCTAAGAGTCATCCTCATGAGAAAGCTTCCCAATTCCAGAGTCTATCTGTACAGAGGTTGGGACTAAAGGGAAAGACTCTGGAGTAAAGAACAAACTGAACATCCAGAAAGAAGGGGAATACCGGTCCCACCTCCCAGTTTGCCACAGTCTGCTGCTGAGCACATACCATCACCACCAAGTACCTGAATGACAACGCCCATCACTGGAAGGTTCAGGGTCTGTCCTGGTACAGGAGGTGGCCACTGATCAATCTCGTTGCACACTGCAGGGACACAGAGAAAGAAAAAGCTGAATGTGAAGGTCAGAACAGCTGATTCAGCTGGGCCTGTGAGTTCTGCCCATTCAAATCATCCCTAGTGCACATGTCACCCTGGCTGCAAACAAACCCTCTATCAAGTAATCATAGAATGGGTTGGAAAGGACCTTAAGATCATCCAGTTCCAGCCCCCTGCCATGGGCAGGGACTCCTCTAGACCATGTCACCCAAGGCTCCATCCAACCTGGCCTTGAGCACTGTCAGGGATGGGGCAGCCACAGCTTCTCTGGGCACCCTGTGCCAGCGCCTCAGCACCCTCACAGGTAAGAGCTTCTGCCTAAGAGCTCATCTAAATCTCCCCTCCAGCAGGACCCCAAGTCCTCAGTGCCCTCACAGTAAAGAACTTCTTCCTTTTATCCGGCCTAAATCTCCACTGTTTCAGTTTGAACCCATCACCCCTTGTCCTGTCACTACAATCGCTGATAAAATGGCCCTCTCCAGAATGCTTGTAGCCTCCTTCAGACACTGGAAGGCTGCTCTGAGGTCTCCATGCAGCCTTCTCTTCTCCAGTCTGAACAGCCCCAACTTTCTCAGCCTATCTCCATAAGGGAGGTGCTCCAGCCCCTGATCATCCTCATGGCCTCCTCTGGACTTGCTCTAACAGCTCCATGTCCTTCTTATGTTGAGGACACCAGAACGGCTCACACTGCTCACCTGACTTACATCTGCACCACCATTTCCAGTGCAGTCCCAGCAGCACTATACTGCTGATAAATCATTATTAAATTGAATAGTGCAATAAAGACCTGTATAGAGATGTAGCATTAGCAGGTTTTCCTCTCTCTGGGAATACATTGTATGGAAAACTGACAGCGGCATCTATGAGGGTTGTCAGACATTTCCCATTGATGCTTCCTTTACAGCTGTTTATAATTTTGACATTTAACCACTTGAATGAAAGTTTTCCCTGTAGGAATCTGTTCCAGAAAGAACTAATTTGGAACATTTCAACTGTCTTTCAGGAACCTCCTGATGAAAACCTTGAAGGACCCCAGTGTGCAATGCCTCCCCCCCCCGGGGATGTGAGGGCTCACCTGCCTCCAGGCATGGCTCCAGCTTGTCAAAGTACTCAGGAGCAATCAGCTGCAGCAGGGACTGGAACAAGTTCACGTATGGAAGGCGTGACACTAGCACCAAGGACTGAAAAAAGGCACATAGAGGAGTCAGAAAGCATGATAATTTTTAGCACTGGATATAATCACACTGGTTACCAGGGGTTAGACTTGAAAACCAACATCAAACACATGAAATTGCTTCAAAGCAGCACTTTTACTGGTGGAGCTCTTCCTACAACCATGGAATGGTTTCACCTGAAGGGACCTTAAAGCCCCTTCAGTTCCAATCCACTGGCATGGGCAGGGACACCTTCCACTAGAGCAGGCTGGTGCAAGCCCCTGTGTCCAACCTGGCCTTGAACACTGCCAGGGATGGGGCAGCCTCAGCTTCTCTGGGCACCCTGTGCCAGCGCCTCAGCACCCTCACAGGGAAGAACCTAAGAGCTCATCTCAATCTCCCCTCTGTCAGGTTAAAGCCACTCCCCTTGTCCTGTCCCTACAGGCCCTTGTCCAAAGCCCCTCTCCAGGTTTCTTGCAGCCCCTTTAGGCACTGAAGCTGCTCTAAGGTCTCACCTTAAGGAGCTTTCTCTTCTCCAGGCTGAATCAGCCCAGCTCTCCCATTCTTTTCTCACATTGCTTCCCACTCTTTGGATCATCTTTGTGGCCCTTCTCTGGCCCCTCTCCAGCCTGAGACCCTCTGCCATTTGTTTGAGAGGATGCCATTTTATCTCTCAGTGTGAAAAACCGCTACTGAAAGAGTAATTCCAGGGACCCATGGAGAAAAGTAGATCTTAGGATCAAAGCAGAGTGCAGTTCTACTCTCTTTCAGGCAGTGACTGTACCCATCTGGCTAAAGAATATAAAGCACTTTGTGTATTTATGATGAAAGAAACCTGCAGTTTGGATTATTTTTCCCAGTGTCTGTGTCACAAGAATTTATATTAAGAGACAGTGTTGGTGAGGTACCAGCAGTGCCACTGCTGCTGGGCAGAAAATGCATCCCAGGAGGAAATCCATTCCCAGATGGCTACTAATGACAGTAAGGTTAAGGTATAACTAGCAACAGCGAGCAGATCCTCTCACTGTCTGTGACACCAGAGTATGTACTGAAGCAAATGTTCAGGTGCTTGAGGATCTCGTGATTCAGCCAGCAGGTCACTGCAGAACACACCATGGCAACAGCATCCAGCTTTGTTTGGAATGACACTTTCCACATACTCCTGTTCCTTGTGACCTTTGCTGTTTCCTGCAGAAGCACTGGGGGTGTCACGTAGGAAGTGGTGCTGGTTACAGCTAGGGCTAGGTGCCTTCTTACAGCTACGTAGCAGCTGAGTAACAAGCTATCTGGTTGCAGCACTCACCTTCTGAAAATAGCCCCTCTTCATGGAGCTGTCCTTGACTTGCCTGAAGTACACATAACCAAAGTAATGAGCTGACTCCCTCTGCAAGAGACCAACAGTGCTGTTACTGAGCAACCCATCCCTGCTGACACCAAATTGCCTCTGGCCACTGACCTAACAGCACACTGCACTCCTGTGATGATGCAATGACAGCATTCCCTCCTGTTTACCAGCATTATCCATGCTCAACTATCCAGGAGAGCTTCCAAATGGGAAGATAGAGAGGAGATAAACATCTGAACTCCCTCAAATTACAGCCTCTGGGTAGCACTTTTTGCTGGCCCCTTTGTGCAGCACCTTCAGGGTATCCATGCAAAAGGTTAACTGAGGTTTCCACTATTAGGACCAGCTCAGCCAACCCACTGAACTCATCTGTGCTGCCAGTCTTGTGCTCTGACTGTCTTTTCCTTGACAGCTAGAGGACAACGTACTGTTGAGGAAGGAATACTTCATCTTCTGAGGGGAGGAAACGTCCTCTATGGTACCCATTGCATTTACCTATTGCTTTATGGTGTATTTAAGGCAGAACCCATGAAACTTACCTTTAACTTAATATAATTTTTGAAGCCCCAGTTTAAGGCACCTTTCTCTCCCCAAATATTATTTTTCCGCAACAGAACCCAGTTTTCCTTGCCTTTCTTCTCTAAAGCTGGGTAACCTGTGAGGCAGTGTCTGCTTGCTACAGAGCACTAGAGAAGTTTGCAAGCTGAAACACCTCTAGACAAGAATTTAGGAAATGAAATCCTCCTGCTCCCTCTCAGACCAGCAATCCATTTCTGGACTGCACATTACAAAAGCACATCACAGAAAGATTGCAGAAGCATTAAACAGGCTCATGCACAGGAAGTATCACCTCAAAGGAGAGAGCAGAAGATGACAAGCTGATCTGATGGCCTTCTGCTCAATGAGAAGAAGCAACAGTGCTCACCCCTTCCGTGTGTGAAATGGGTAGTTCACTGATGGAAAACCCACAGCTAATGGACACTCCTGATCTTAGTGCTTGGGTTTGGTTAGACCAGCCCATGCAGAGCAAGCCCAAGCATGGATCTGTGGCATGCCAATTATTCTGGCTGGTTTTATATGCATAGATCCTGCAACACAAGAAAAGAACCATCACCCCTCAACAAGAGGTAAACATGGGCAAGGATATTCTTGCCTTTCCTCATAGAACATGCACAGGTAGCCATGCACGCTGTTGGATGTCACTTGTGTGCCATCATTTTTCTTTTTGCTATAGCCAGCCATGACCCCTGCTCTAAGCTGGGGTCTCCTGATTCAGTTCCACCTCTCAGAGTAGCTGGGATTCTCAACACAGCCCTCTATGGATATTAACATGGAAGTAAGTCCCTGTGCTGAAAGCTTTCTCCTTTGCTGACTGCTCCCACAGCCAGAGAAAATGAGTATTTCATGCAGAGAAAACAAATCAAAAGCATAGCTGGTTTTTACCCCAATAGCACTACCATTTGCTTAGCAGGTGGAAGCAGTGCACTGAAACCCAACTGACCTGCAGCATCAGAGAGGCTTCTCTATTGTACTCGCCATCATCCTCATAGTGAGTGGTCCTCTGCCCCCCTGACTGGCGCAGGCGGAAGCTGAACTGAGTGTCCCCCAGGCCACCTGAGACAGAGAAACCCATAAATGCTTAGGAGGAAGTCTAGTCAAGAGAAAGCTGGGAACTGGTTACATCTGAAGTGCTGACATAAACAGGGATGCTGGTTTACAAGGAATTCTAAAACTGAAGAAGGAATTGGAGAGTAACAGCATAAAGGAGCCCCAAAGCCTCAGAGCAGGACACGTAGCTCACCAGAAGTATCACTAAGTATCACTAGGTATCACTATCACTTAGTATCACTAAGCTAAACTTTGCCAAGCCATTGCTGGGAACATTACAGATACAGCCAGTATCATCAGGCCTGAGCTGCTATAGCCACCACTTGTTATCCACCCTACTGAAAAACCTACAAACAACCCTAATCCAAGACCACACAAACACTGATTTTAAGGACAATCAGTTCCAGCACCATGGCTGGGCAGCCCATGGGTTCACACTGTGCTATTCATCCCCCTCAAGTATAATTTGTCCAGCAGGAAAAAGAGAAGCATGAAGTCCTCAGGAGTTTTCACCAGTTGGTTAGGGTAGGCAGAAGGAGTAGGGCTGAGTATGTGCAAGTCAGCTATGGGGAAACACATAAAGCTCACTGAACAAAACCCAAGGCTCAACTGATTAAAGTGGTCCAGCATGATAAGAGAGCATGCTCCCTTCTCACTGCCTGCAGCTGTTGTGCTCTGAAGAAGAGTAACGACTGCTGTGTATGTGTGTTACGAAGATATTTCTATTAGGAAACAATTTACTTGGATAAAAGAGACACTTAGTGTGAGTGTTCACTAAAGCCTAGTGCAAGTACACCCTTAAAAGCATTTCAAACTAAACTGGGAAAGCTGTAGCAAACTACATCAGGAACCAGCCTTAAAGAAACGGGTACTGGGATGAAATTAACCTGCTTATTTCTTAATGTCACCTTCCTGATTTATAAAGCCAAGCTTTGGGAATCCTTCTGCTGTGAAAGCATCCATCCTCTTCCCATCTACTGCTCTTCACTGAGCACATCACAAACACAGAAGTGCTGCAGTTGAGACCTGCAGTCTTTAAGGAACATACTCTCTGTGACTGTTTTCTATATCTTACTGGCATGGGTGAAGCATGAGTGTGTATCAAGATATTGCCCCATGACCCACTCGATCCCAGATTCTACATCCACAGAGCAATCAAAATGCCAAGAAGCCTCTTTGTTCAGACCTAAGGGAGGGTGCTCCTCGATGTCACAGTGTTAGAGGTGAGGACTCACTCTTTCCATCATGAACCCATCTCTTAATGGCAACGAACCATCCCAGAAAGGCCAACAGCTGCTATTACCTACCTGAGTAGGAGTCTGGGAAGGACAAGTAACAGATACTGGTTTTCTGCAAAAAACAATACCACACATTAGAAAAGCTCCATCTCTGCTGCTCAGTATCTTTATAAACAGGGGGGAAATCATCAAAATAGTTCTTACTTCTTTCTCTGTTAGCCTGAAGTCATAAGGATACACCAGCTGCAAGAGACAAGAGCCATGAAAGTCAGTCCCTCGGTTCCCCCACGACTTCTACCCCATCTATAGATACTGCTGCCATACAATAAACACCTTATTTTTCCCAACACAACACATCCTACAAGGAGGTTCTTCCCTGTGAGGGTGCTGAGGTGCTGGCACAGGGTGCCCAGAGAAGCTGTGGCTGCCCCATCCCTGGCAGTGTTCAAGGCCAGGTTGGTCACAGGGGCTTGGAGCAACCTGCTCTAGTGGAAGGTGTCCCTGCCTGTGGCAGGGGTTGGAACTGGAGGGGCTTTAAGGTCCGTTCCACCCTAACCAGTCTGTGACTTTATGACAGACTAAAAATGGCTTTTAAAATGAAGCAATGGCATAGATGTGATGAGGTCTGGAAGGAAGAGCCACTGGGGGATGCACAGAGGGTGTTAACAGCCAGGGCTGGGAAACCACTTTTGCAGCAGCAAAGGGCAGGATTACTGTTCTCAAAGGCAGAGGAAAGGAGGCAGCAGTCATCAAACGTGACAGTCATAGTCCAGACAAAGGTTCTGACCGTACAAAGAGATCAGAAAACAGAACATCCTGTGTACACTAAACAACACCAAGTCTGATGTTAGACACAGCCTTGGGAATGTATCCTAGCCTCGGGGTGAAAACACTTATTTAAGAGTCCTGAGTGAGTGCTCAGATAGAGATGCTGTTCCCTGTAACCAGGGAGGGCAGGAAGTCGGCAATAGGAGAGGTCTGAGGGGATTCAGAGCTGTGTTTTAGCCTCCCTGATTTGAGATCTGTTGTTAGAAAGCCAAGGTTTAGTTTGTAAGGAAAGAGGTGGCTCTGGCAAGGGCTTGAACATTTATGCTTTGTCAGCATACACTAAGCTGTGTTCCACCCAACTTATCAGCCAGCATTTCAGGTAAGAGGGACTGTCAAAGGCTCTAGTTAAGGACTCCAGCCTTGTAGCTGAACTGTGTAAATGCTGATAACACTGTTTCTACATTTACCCATTGAAATTTCATTTACCCAATGAAAGAGAACTCAATGCAAGACTTCTCAGGTCAGAGCTGAAGGCAAAAGCAAGATCCACTGCAGAAAGAATTGCACTGGGGAGTGAGAAATGACAAAGCTATGGTAGGAATGAGTTTCACATGTTCCTGGGCAGGGGGCAGGAACCAGAGTCCCCACAGATCTGCAGCAGTTCTCTCCCCAGCCTCACAGCAAGCACTGACGGGGATGTGCAGAGGTTACCGGTGGCTTTAGGTAAGTCAGAACTGAGCCCTGAATGGCCTGGGAAATGGAGACGGCTCATCAGGCTTCTGCAGTGACTCTGCTCCAGGTCAGTGTGCGAGTCATCTGGATCTCAAATCAGGAGCTCAGCTCTTCTAACAGGGCTATAAATAGCAGGAGTGGCACCATGCCAGAGCACTGGAAGTTCACCGAGTGAGCTTGCTTTGCTCTGACAATTCCCCACTGATTCCTTGGCAAGGTCATCTCATCAGCTTCAGAGAGGGAGCCAAGTGAACAATTAAACATTCCCCTGATTAGCCCTCAGTTAAAGCTGCTCTGAAAGATGGAAGCTGCAAAAAGCAGGAGGAAAATGAGCATGTGCAGCTACAGCGGTGAAGGCACAGCAAGAGGATGAACGCCAGAGCATGAGGGGATGCACCGCAGAAGACACACTCCTCTGCTCATTGTGTTATTGCATTAAGTGACTGAATAAATTCTTGTGGTCAGGACTAACTTAATGTTCATACAACCATTTATTTGGTTCATTCCCATGTAATAATGGTTAGACCAGGAACAGAGACAGGACATCTGACGCTGATTCATTGAGAAGCTCGGGAATCTCACAGCATCGCACTTGCTGCTGATCTAAACTTAGGTTCAGGAGTCCAGGTAGACTTAGAACCCTGCTGCTGCTGTTCCTGGGGGGGCTTTCTGCAAGTGAATCAGACCAGAAGTGGATACCGATGGTTCCTAACTGTGCTGTGGGCCCAAGTTTAACTGTTCAAGGCCAAGTTGGACACAGGGGCTTGGAGCAACCAGCTCTAGTGGAAGGTGTCCCTGTCCATGGCAGGGGTTGGAGCTGGAGAAGCTTTAAGGTCCTTTCCAACCCAAACCACTCCATGATATGCTAAGCTCATGTTTCACTTGGAGGTGTGTGCTCAGATTTTAGGGGAGTAAAAGGGAAAAGAAGAAAAAAAAACCAGCCTCAAATGCTCCTGACTGAGCACAGAAGTATTGATGGACCCAAAATCTCAGATGACTTTGAAAAATACCTTATCTTTTGATTCTTTGCTATTCCTTCAGTTCAAGCCTGAAGTGTTTGGGGTGGGGGGAAATCCCTAAGCGTTTACCAGATCAAACCCCCAGTCTAAAGCAGTAAGAATCAGTGGCTAGAACTTCCCAAAAGTAAAAAGACAGTGAACAAAAAGAAATGTTTTACTTGTAAAAAGTCCCTGGATATCTCAGAAATAGCCCAAAAGGACTTAAATAATGTCCTAACTTGTGATACAGACTTCTCTCCCATCAGTGGTGCATTAACAACCGTGGAGGTGACACATGTTGTTGGAAGCAGATCCTTGTTGGTTGCCAAGTACTCAGCTGCTGTCATAGCAACACATCCAGAAAGTGACTTCTGGTGACTCTGAAGTAACCAGGCTCCACAGAGTGCCTCTGTTTGGGAAAGCTCACGAGGGAGGAGCCAGTGTAACTGGAAAAGGGATATTTTCAAACCATAGGTAGGAATTAGTGGTGTTTCTGTGACAGCAGCAGCAGAGAAGCTGGTATCCTTGAGGAGGTGGACAGCGAGGGGTCAGTGGAGATCCCAGCCTGGAGAGGAGCATCCCATACACAAGTCTTCTCTCTCCTAGTGTGTTTTTCTGTCTGTAGTAACTATTTGAAGAAATGCAAATTGGTGGATGAGTCAGAAACAGCAGTCGTACCTGATTTCTGCATTGACCTGCTTTGAGAGCAGCCCTGAGCAGAAGGACTTGGGGTACTGGGTGAGGAGAAGCTCCCCATGACCCAGCTTCAGTGTGCGCTTAAGCCGAGAACCCCGCCTGTGTGCTGGGGTGCACCCCCAGAGCATGAGCAGCAGCTCAGGGAAGGGATCCTGCCCCTCTGCTGCACTCTGGGGAGACCCCCCTGCAGTCCTGATCCAGCTTCGGGGCAGCAGTGCAAGAGGGACGTGGAGCTGTTGGAGCGAGCCCAGAGGAGGCCATGGAGATGCTGTGAGGGCTGGAGCAGCTCTGCTCTGGAGCCAGGCTGAGAGCTGGGCTGGTTCAGCCTGGAGAAGAGAAGGCTCCTTAAGGGGAGACCTTAGAGCAGCTCCAGTGCCTAAAGGGGCTACAGGAAACCTGGAGAGGGGCTTTGGACAAGGGCCTATAGGGACAGGACAAGGGGAATGGCTTTAACCTGCCAGAGGAGAGACTGAGATGAGCTCTCAGGCAGAAGCTCTTCCCTGTGAGGGTGCTGAGGCGCTGGCACAGGGTGCCCAGAGAAGCTGTGGCTGCCCCATCCCTGGCAGTGTTCAAGGCCAGGTTGGACACAGGGGCTTGGAGCAACCTGCTCTAATGGAAGGTGTCCCTGCTTGTGGCAGGGGGTTGGAACTGGATGAGCTTTAAGGTCCCTTCAACCCAAACCATTCTATGCTTCCTTTGAAGCACCTTTTCTACTGTATATTCAAATAGCAGCAGAGTGGGACTCACTGAATTTCAGGCCAATGGTGTATCCACACCTCAAGATGACTGCACAGAACACAAGTCATGCGATACCTGGAAACCTGAGCAGAGCCTAAGCAAGGCCTTGGTTGTATCCACAGAGCCTACCCCATTCCAGGATAGAAAACAAGATGTTTTCCTTGAAAGAGTCCTATACTTGAGAAAAAGTTACCTTCAGGAAGGGATGGGAAGGTCTCAGCACAGAAACCCTGACAGGGACAGCCCTGCATGGGACATCCTAAGGTCAGGCTGCACTTGGGATGCCTGCACCTTCACACACTGATTTACAGACATGATGCATGAGGATGATGCAACCTCCAGAGCAGAGGTTTCCCTTCCTGCTGACTCACTTTGCTGCGAGCATGAAGTAGCACAAGTTACTCCAGGTATTTGTAGCCTGTCACTCGGTGCAATCCTCGGGTGTGTGATCAGCTCCTGTATGTAAATCACTCTGCAGAGATTTGTACACCCACAAAACCACAGAGAGCTCTGGCAAGATCTAATCCCAGCCAGCTACATCAACCTAGTCATGTCTATGGCACACTGGCATAGGAGTTCCAAACTTCCCACACACTGAGCCCGGCCTGAGGAAGTCCCACAGGTGTGTTTTAAACCCAGAAACATGCAGTTGAGGGCCCAAACATGAAAATCCCTCTTCCTGGCTGCAGAAAGCAGGCTGCTTAGAGACAAGCTGATCCTGGACTAACTAAATCTGGACCCAATCTAGACCAACTGAGGCACCAAATGGAGATAAGCAGGAAGATAATGACCCCACTTGACTACTGGCTATTCCACTACTGTGGAATTTTCACTGTTTCAAGTGCTTTTACTTGGAATTCCCCTAAAAGACAGCAACAGCTTGAGCTTTCTTATTTTCCCAAGACCAAAGAATGGAACATAGATCTTTATCACACAACTTTTCCTCAGCCTGGCTTCCTTTCTGGGTGTCTCACCCAGCGCAGACCCCTGTTCCCTGCCCAAACCCTTTGTTCAGAGACAGAAATCCACACGGACACCCAAAGGAAAAGGGACAGAGGGGCTGTGTCCTCACTCAGGCCAAGTACTGAGGTGCTCCCAGTTGTCCTGCTCATTTATACCACAAGAAACATCTTCCCATCAATACTTATGTAGGCAAAGGAGGAAAAGGGAAGAACGAAAGCAAAGGAAGAAAAAGACCTTTCCAGGGATTAAGAACCCACATTACTCAGTTGATTGTACCTCGATTACAAAGTCCCTTCCTTAGAACGCTACACAGGCAATAAAACTGGTAGGAAAGCACCTCTGTAGCTCCATGAAGACACACATGAATCATGAAGTTGTAAATGCTAATTATTGTCCCGTATCCATATCCTTCCCAACGTGTACCAGGTCTAGGAGAGAGTCCAGAGCATGTGAAACTCAGTTCTACAGCACATTGGTTTTATTTATTTCAGGTTTCATGGAAAGAAACATAGTGAAGTGTTTAAGGAAACAGAGCAGTAATGGGCTGGCTTCATCTCTGCCACTTTCCACTCCCTTCAGAAGCTTCAGCATGACTTTAAAATGCCTCAGATCTCTGAAAAACACCGTTAACCTCCTTACACAAGGGGGAACTGAGGAGCATTTCCCACAGCTACACAACAGATGAGGAACTGGAGATAAGCCCTTGGGTTGAAAATAGCCCAGACATATCTGCCCCCCTTACATTGCATTGTCTGTAACACCAACCTGCTCTTGCCTTCAGCCACGGTACAAGCCGTGGGTATCTACCTCCCTTTGAATCCTCTTTCGGAGGCAACTTTCAGGGATAGGGCAAAGCTGTTCCAGCCCTTTCCCTCCCAGTTCATCCCCTCTGGCCCCTCAGTGAGGTATCAGACCTGGGAAGCCCCTGACAACACAGGTCCTCTGGCACTGCTGACAGAGCTGCTCAGCACCTCATTATCTCCCCACCGCCCCCCCTATTCCCACCCAGCTCCTGCGACATTCCCCTCAGCTCCTCCTTATCCCCCTCTGACCCCACACATCAGACTTGTGTTTGTAAGCGAGATTCATCCTGAACCCCTGCTCCACGCCCCAGCTTCCTGCCTTCAGCTCTTCCTCCACAGCCTTCTCCCACCACCCTCCTTCTCCCTTCGCAGCCTGCCCCCTCCTCGGCAGCCCTCTGCCCACCTCAGTCACACCGCTGCCCCCGTTCGCCCCGTACACACCCCCCGCATCCTGGGCCCTGCACACTCCGTCTTCCCATCCGCAGGGCGCTTCTCCGGCCCACCCCGGCGCTGCCACCGTGGCGTGGGATGAGGGATGAACCCCCACATCTCTGCTCTACACCCACCGTCCCCTGCCTGCTCGCTGCCCCGCACCACGACCCTTCTCCCCCACAGCCTGACAGGGGCTATCCCACAGGACCAACGCCCACCCAAGACCCGCCCGGGCCCAGGCCCGCCCCACGCCCCCCCGGCCCTGCCCGCACCTCCATGGCCTGGCCCAGCTCCAGGTCGAAGGTGACCACGCAGACACAGTCGAGCCAGGCAGAGAAGCGGGCCCAGGGCAGCGGGGAGGCGGCCGCGGGCCGGCGGGGCCGGGACTCTGCCCGGCACAACGCGTCCATGGCAGCGGCCGCTCCGCCCGGCCCGGCCCCGCCCCGCCCCGCCCCGCCCCGCCGCTCCGCGCCCCCCAGCGGCCCGGAGGTCCCGTGCCCGCCGCCGCCGCCACCATCGAGACGGCTCCGCGCGCAGAGTGGCCCGGGGGCGGGTGTCGGGGCGGGCGCGGCTGGGGCTTGCGAGGCGGGGAGGGCCCGGTACGGCCGCGGCTAAAGCCAGCCCCCCCTTGCACGGTGCTGTGTCTGCCGCGGCTGCCGCTCCCCGGAGCCTCGCCCCTTCGCCCCCAGCGCCTGACTGCAGCTCGGGCTCCCCGTCACGGAGCACCCGCGGCTCGCTCACCCCAGACCAGGGTCTCATGCCCCGGTCCGGTGCCCTCCCCTGGGCCCGGCCTTGGGCTCCTGTAGGCGGGGAATGGTCCGGGGGCACCGACAGAGCATGGGTGGGTGTGAGCAGAGAAGATGGGGAGAGGGTAAAGCAGGACCCTAATGTTCACAGGGGGGACCTCATCGCTCCCTACAACTGCCTGACAGGAGGATGGAGCCAGGAGGGGCTGGGCTCTGCTCCCAAGGAACAAGGGATGGGACAAGAGGAAACGGCCTCAAGCTGCACCAGGGCAGGTTTAGATGGAGCTGAGGAACAATTCCTTCCCCAAAGGGTGCTCAGGCACTGGCACAGGCTGCCCAGGGCAGTGCTGGAGTCACCGTCCCTGCAAGTGTTCACACACCGTGTAGCTGAGGCCTCAGTGCCATGGGTTAGTGCTGGGGAACGGTTGGACTGGATGAGCTTAAAGGGCTTTTCCAGCCCGGCTGATTCCATGATTCTAGTTTTTAAGCATGTGAACTCCGTGGCACAAGCCGCTTCCCTCTCACCTTCATTCAGTGCTCGGGGTGGGAGGACAGTGACACCGAGGAAATGCTAAAATATCACTGATAAGTAACACCTCATGGCGGTTTCCTGAGGCACAGGCTAAAACCCATTAGCTTTTTTTCCTCCCCTCATTTATTGCTAGGCTACTGGTGAGCCCGTTTCAGTCCTGGAGCACATCAGCAGTAGGGCCACTGTAAACAGAAAGCGTAAGGAGGAGTCTGCAGCAGCAGCAGCTCAGACACACATGTGTGATGACTGAGCATCCCACCTGGCCCTGTGCCTCCTAGAGAAGTTTGTTGCTGAGTTATGGGATGGAGAAGGAGGTTTTCACTCACTCAAGCAGTAACCTCAATCCGACCCTTATCCATGGGAGCTTGGCCATAAAGCCTCATTTCTGGGCTAAAAAATTTCTGTTGTCTAATTTTATGGCATAAGATGGGCACGTTTCTATGTGCTTCCTCCATGAACCCAACTGGGGGCAGTTCTGTCAAAACCAAATCAGATTTACATGATTTTAGAGGAGAATCTGACTTGTAAGTACATAAAGGGGTCCTACAAGAAACCTGGAGAGGGGCTTTGGGGACGGGCCTGTAGGGACAGGACAAGGGGAATGGCTTTAACCTGACAGAGGGGAGACTGAGATGAGCTCTCAGGCAGAAGCTCTTCCCTGTGAGGGTGCTGAGGCGCTGGCACAGGGTGCCCAGAGAAGCTGTGGCTGCCCCATCCCTGGCAGTGTTCAAGGCCAGGTTGGACACAGGGGCTTGGAGCAACCTCCTCTAGTGGAAGGTGTCCCTGTCTGTGGCAGGGGTTGGAGCTGAAGGAGCTTTAAGGTCCCTTCCAACCCAAACCAGTCTGGGATTCTGTGAAAAATTCTTCAGCTAAAATATGCTGAGAGCCTGTAATAAATAAAAGCAACATTACTTGAGAGTTGCTATTACAATTATTTGTGTTAGTGCAGCACTTCTGCACCCTGGTGATGGGCTACATTTAGCAAGCTGTGATACGATCCAGACAAGGAGATTAGATGGCTTACGTGTGAAGAAACAGCACGCCAAGACCATCAAAAAGCGCAAAAGGAGGTATAAAAAGGCAGGTTGGTGGTGGTTAGTGCAATGTGTGGTGGTTAGTACAACGTGTGGTGGTTAGTACAGTGTGTGGTGGTTAGTACAATGTGTGGTGGTTAGTACAATACTTGGTGGCTTCACCACGTCATGAGCAGAGCCGCAGCAGTGCTGCTCTTGGCAAACAACTTCTGAGCGCGTGTAGCTGCTCTGTCGTAACAGCCACAGGATATGTGAGGGAAGGCCCAGCATTTGATCTTGACTTTGATACCTCCTGACAATGCAGACAAGCTGAGGACATGCCCCAGAGTATTTTTGCTTTTGTGTTGGCTAAACACAAGAGCTTTTATAATTCATTTCCTCTGCTTTGCCTTGAAACAACACCAGGGAACACTGGAAGCCCTGATGGGCACCTGGTTCTGTGGCCCTTTGTGAGGGTAGGGAAGGAGCTGGTCCTGTGCTCCTCCAGAGAGAAACTGCAAAGTGGCTGGTTCTCTGAGAGAACTTAATCTGCTCATGTACGGCTGGGCTGCACCTTTGCTCTCTCCAAACAGCTCATCACAGGCCCATGATTTCCAGCCTTTTAAGCCCCTATATGCTCCTGGACCATATTTGGGCAATGAAGGTCCTGCAGAAGGCTGTGGATCACTCCTCTGCAAGCTCTGGCCTGGCTGGAGATGCTGTGCTGCAGAGGGACTGCACTGCACAGGGCCAGCATGTCGGGTTTGCACTGCTCCTAAGCAACCTGAGTAAATAGAACATTTCGCAACCCTTAACCACAGCGCTTGCTCCACTTTCATCTATAATTATCTTCTGCATCAGAGCTCTCAAGAGCAACCAGCCTACCAGATTTTGCAGGATATTTTGCATTCAGCTTCAGTTTGGCTGCCTTTTCTCTTGCATTGCCAGTCGGGATAATATTCTCCAGACAAGAGGAGAAACATAAATACCCTGCAGACAGAGGAACGTGCAATATGCTGGAAGCCAAGAAGTGGTCTCTCGCCAGCCTCACTGCTGATTGCTGTTTATATTCTGCGTGCTTCAGAGCTTTGTTATTTGAAAGAGGCCTTATAGCTTGCCCCAAACAGCAGCCAAATCCAATTCTTGGTGTTTGGAAAAGCTAACATGCAAATTCTATTCAGGAAAGAGCCTGTGACTCCAGTAGAACGGAAGAAGACTCTTCTCCTCCTCCCTTCAGTGTTTCTCAGAGTTAATGTCCAAACCACCCCTTGGTGATCCTGATCTAAGGTGTGTCCTAGGCACTTCATTTCAAAGACAAGAATAGAGAACAGGGTTCCTAGTCAACGTCCTCTTTCTGGTCATGCAACCTCTGAGCAAAATGCCTAATCCTTCTCTAGGTGTGAGTCTTGGTAAGGCTCAGGCTCATGCCTCTGCTTCCAGAACTGGAAAGCTGCGCGCAGGGCCTGGAGCCCGGAATGCTCCTTGGCTGAGGTCTGAAGACACAAGTAGCCCAAGTCTTTGCTGCAGTGATCTCTGGATTTCTGACAAAAGCTCTGCTCTTTGTGCTTGTTCACTGAAGTTCAAGTTCAGACTCAAAACTGCCTTAGAACAGGGTTCAGTGCCTCAGAGGAGCGAACAAACCCTCTCATAGCTGGTAGTCCAGCAAGTCATACAACAAAATGTGATTTAATATGTCCTGACTGCTTGATGTGTAAATCAGTTCTTTGAGTTAAAGAGAGGCAGCTTTTCAAGCTCAGAACTGTGTGTTAACGACAGTTTGGGTTGTGAAATACATCTTCCACATGCAGAAAACAAGCAAGACAGTGCTCACCAGCCATGTAATCCCAAAGTGAAGGTTTACTTGCAGGGTGAAGATGCAGTTATATGTGCTGATGCCTGGGGAGGCCCTAGGAAAGCAGTGCTGACTGCTCTGGACTGGATGTGGTGTTGGGTGGAGGCTGTGGCTTTGGCTACAGTTCAGCAGTGGTACAGGTAACACAGTCAGCGACAGGCTATGGAGCAAGGGGGTGAACTCTTCCCATGCCCTTCAAGTGCCTGTTTGGTCACCTGCAAGATTGAGCTTTGCATGTTGCATGCTTAAACAATGTGGATTAGTTCTAAGTTGTCCATATGCATTGTTGTTACCATGGACAATGTGCTAAATGACAGATAAACTGGCACAGTGACAGCTTTGTGATCCCGGAGAGCTCGTGGCTCAGCTGCTCTTATAGAGCATACAATCATATATATATATATATATTTATATATATCTTACAGAGCATAGAATCATAGAACCATAAAATGGTTTGGGTTGGGAGGGAGCTTAAAGCTTATTCAGCTCCAACCTCCTGCCACAGGCAGGGACACCTTCCACTGGAGCAGGTTGCTCCAAGCCCCTGTGTCCAGCCTGGCCTTGAACACTGCCAGGGATGGGGCAGCCATAGCTTCTCTGTGCCAGCACCTCAACACCCTCACAGGGAAGAACTTCTGCCTAAGAGCTCATCTCAGTCTCCCCTCTGTCAGGTTAAAGCCATTCCCCTTGTCCTACCAGTACAGTCCCTGATGAAGAGTCCCTCTCCAGCATCCTTGTAGCCCCCTTCAGACACTGGAAGGCTGCTATGAGGCCTCCACGCAGCTTCTCTTCTTCAGGCTGAACAGCCCCAATGTTCTCAGCCTGTCTCCACATGGGAGGTGCTCCAGCCCCTGATCATCCTCACGGCCTCCTGTGTACTTGCTCCAACAGCTCCGTATCCTTCTGTTGCTGAGGACACCAGAGCTGCACACAGTGCTGTAAGTGGGGTCTCACAAGAGCAGAGCAGAGGGTTCCACAAGACATCTTTGACACAGCACCATGGCACCAGGCTTGGCTGCTTCATTTCTCTCCAAGGCAGGGAGAGCTGGCCACCAGACAGGACAGAGGCTCTGTCCAGGCTCTCAAGTTCCTGTTAATTTAAGCAGCACTGGCACATTAGGACCTTTCTCCTTCTTTCTGTCCATCCTGCATGATGATGTGTGGGAAACCAAGTGACACAAACCACCACGGGAACAGAAAGCTGATTTTAACTTCCAGGTATGAGGATTTCAAAGTAAATTCATGGTTTTGTAACCTGTTCAGTACAAAATGGCAAAACTCCTTAGGAACTTCACTACA